TCTGCTGCTTCCCTTTTACAACTAGAAAAATACGAAAATGCATTGCAACTTGTTGCCTCTATCCATCAGTTTATCTTTCTATCTGTCACAGGGAGTTGATGGTGGCAGTTAAGCAGCCAGAATAGTTGTTAATTTCTCAGTAGATGCGCAAACAATTGTGTTTACAATATGGAATAGAAACAAGTTCAGTTACATTAGTATTTACATATTTATATATTTGATGTTCAAAACTCCCAATAGCCAAATTCATTCAGACAAACATAGAGCATATGTAAAATATATAAAATACATAGAAGTTAAGCACTCTTAGCTTCCATCAACTTCAACAGGAATGCCAAGTGTATGTTGCTGAAAGTTGAATGGTGGCTTGACTCTGCCTACTGCTCCTATTTTTTTCATTAACCTACTTGTAATCGACCCAACAAAAGCTCTATCTGGGTTGTACCATTCACACTGCAAGTGACAGCCCACACAACTGAATGATCTTTCTTACAAAAGTCTACTCGACACAGAAAAAAAAACCCCCACTAAGTAACAGGAATAAGGATTCCAGTGTACCTTTCTCTCAATGCTAATTTCCCAAGCACTGTCATTTTCATTTATTTTAACATGGAGGAGCACTGTCACCCCACCTGAACTCTTGGGCGGTACAGCCCTGATTCAATATTATCACCCATATCAGAAATGGGCCACATTAATTGGATTTTATTTTATTTGATTATTTATTTGGTTCGCCAAACTGTGGAGAAAGTCCTGTAGGTTTTTATTAACTGGGAGGAAAAGAAGTTCTATGAAACAGAGTCTACCCTTATATTTACACCAACTGCCTTCTTTACCCAGTCAAAAACAAAAGCACCTATATCATAGAGGTAATTACTGATCATTAACTTTAAAAGCAGATGTATAGGAATGCTGTCTCCTCAGTGTTCATCTTCTCCAAACAGAGCCAACTGGGTAAGGAATTTATCATTCATCAATACCCTTTGGCTACACTTCTTGAGCCAAGTACTGCATCTAACAGATTGTTTACAGTCTGCCTATGCAGTGCTTTAACTCCATTTTAAAGAGGATGGCAAGTGACACAAGACTAGATAAGAGTGATTTGCTCCCAACTCATCTACTCTTACCATCACAAGAGTTTGATCTTGGTTTCATGAGAATAAAGTGGGAATATATAAGAGACTTCAGAAGAAAGAAGCTCTTTGTGATCAACTCCTTTATACACTATTTCTTCCTTGTACCAGTAGGTAAATCAACACCACAGCACCAGCTCGGCCATTAAACAGACTGGGGCAATCACCTTAAGCAAACAGGAAGCAGCCCCCCGAGCTGTTCTTTTCTGTTGGAGGACAGAGCAACATATTCTATGCAGCTTGATCTGTGCCTTCTACCAAGAGCCTTGAGATGCCATTTGCCTCAGGCAGCAACATGTTTCGATGCTGACCCTGCCTATCTTCTGACTCTCAAACACATAATGACCACCAAACATCCCCCAGCAGGCTGTGAGATGTCCTTATAATTTTATATTTCCTGATACGCCTGTAATCCCATTTTCAGTCACATTCTAGAATATCAGCTTTAGTGAACACCACTCACAGGTATTTCCTTAAGCTATTCTTTCACCTTGTAGAACAGAGTTTCCATTGTCTGGCTCTAAAACAATATGGGCACAACTATGCTGCAATCATATATGCCATCACACTAAGACAAGGAGGTGGTAATTGAATTGTGTGAGAGAAAACCTTGATTGGAAGCATGCCACTAAGAAAAACTAAAAGGAACAAAATTTATGGGACTCAAAAAGCCATAAAGTTTACTTTTAGCTTAGAATCATTTGAAAAATATGTTCTCCAATCCTACCATCAGCTCTATAATCTCTCTGCCCCTCAACACCCCCGTCTTTAAAAATAACACACAAATGAGTCTTAAAAACAATACTGGCTCACTGTAAAAGAATGCAGTGGTCCAGAGAGCTATCCCCTTGTGTCCTACTTGCTTCAGGAAGGTGGCAGTATTGCTTTTGGAATTACTGGGTTAAGCGAGTGAGCTGTCTTCTTTCCAGTGAATGTCTTGATACCATTACCATAACAAACTTAGGAATGACTTATTCTCATGAAAGAGGAAAATCATCTAGATGATGAGCAAGCAGGATTTCGATCATGACACCCTACAGGAGATCATGGTATAGTTTTACAACATCTGGTGGATAAATATTCATTTAAGACCAAAGGAGCACTATATACAGCCTTTATTGATTTCAAGTCCGCATTTGATATGATCCCACGAGACAGGCTTTGGCAGAAGTTGGAGACAACCAACATTGATAGGTGGCTGCTGCTCCTGATTCACTGCCTCCATGCAAAAACCAGGTTGAAGGTGAGATGCAACAGGGCAGGTTGAAGGTGAGATGCAACAGGGCAGGTCACCTCACCAAGGCCATCTCTACATAGGCTGGTGTGAAACAAGGCTGTGTATTGGCTCCCACTTTGTTCAACATCTATGTTAACTCCTTGGTTAGGAACTTAACTGGAAACAACTTTCACCCCCCCAACCTAGCAGGTAGACTCCTATCTACTCTCTTATATGCAGATGATGTTGTACTTCTCTCATTAACCTGCATTGGCCTATGACGGTTATTAAGAGCCCTGGGCAACTATTGTAAAACTGAGGAGTTAGTAATTAATTATGATAAATCAAAAGGCTTAATGTTTACCAGGAAACTGATCACACATAAATGGCAAATAAATGACCACCTAATTGAGCAAGTCAAATCTTATAAATATCTGGGTGTGATCTTCCAGTCCTCAGGATCTTGGAAGGCTCAATTATCCAACGCTTTTGCAAATGCTCTGAGAAATATTAAGTCACTCATACATTTTTCTTCTTTGTAAAAAGAGGTCAGCATATACCCTGTTTCCCTGAAAATAAGACCTAACCTGAAAATAAGCCCTAGTTAAGTGAAAAAGCCCACCCGCCACCACTGTATAGCAACCAGAAGATGACATGACTGTATTTGAATAAATGTAGATTGTTGTACATGAAAAAAATAAAACATCCCCTGAAAATAAGCCCTACTGCGTTTTCTGGAACAAAAATTGATATAAGACCCTGTCTTATTTTCAGGGAAACAGGTTACCATCAGCCATACAGGTCTTCAATGCCAAGATATTAGCACAGATGTTATATGGTGCACAATGGTGTAGATACAGAAATTTTACTGCAATGGAGTCCATTCAAATGAAATTTCTGAGAACTATTCTTGGACTCCCGAGTTGTGTGCCAAAAGTACTTTTACAATTAGAAACAGGCCAGATGTTGATAGAATCACGGGCATGGATACTTAAGTTAAATTTTTGGTTAAAAATGTTCTTCACCCCCGTGGGGTTGGCCCCTTTAGTGCTAACTGATAAGTTTCAGTCGAGATGGGAAAGATCTATGGATGAGAAATTAAATAATTTGGGCCTCTCGAGGAGTGCTATTTTGTTAATGGGCTCTACAAAAGCAAAACAGGAACTACACCAGCGCATCACAGACAATGAGCTGCAACACCATGTCAGCATAGCTATGGCTTTATTTTATTTATTTATTTAGAGGTGATTATGGTCAGATTTTACCTGCAAACTATCTGAATACTCTGACCCTTCCAAAATACAGAAAAGCTTTTACATTTGCAAAGTTTAGTATACTTCCTTCAGCCCTGCTGGAAGGCAAATACAAGAACATGAAGAGCACTTATGTCCTTGTGAGGCTGGTGTGGTGGGGATGGTTGGCCGTGTTCTGTTGTATTGCTCCTTTTACACTGGTTTCATTTTACCTGCAAACTATCTGAATACTCTGACCCTTCCAAAATACAGAAAAGCTTTTACATTTGCAAAGTTTAGTATACTTCCTTCAGCCCTGCTGGAAGGCAAATACAAGAACATGAAGAGCACTTATGTCCTTGTGAGGCTGGTGTGGTGGGGATGGTTGGCCGTGTTCTGTTGTATTGCTCCTTTTACACTGGTTTCCATGATACTTTTATTCATCCAATTTTACAAAGCATCCCCGGAAGAGAGGATGAGTACTCTACCTGTTATCTGCTGGCAGACCAGTGTCCATCAGTAACGATTAAAGTGGCCAGCTTCTGTGCAGCGGCACTAGTCTGCAGGTGAGAAATGGTGCCTTAACCCTCTAGATATATACATGTATGTACTGTATGCATATATGAATATGTATGTATTGGGGGTGGGATTATGCTTCTAACAACTATCTATGGAATTTGTCTCCCTAAGAGTCTGCCGCACATAACATACATTACAGTTGCATTGATACTGTTTATTCTTATGCAGTTGTTCTATGTTATTCACATCTGATCTGTTGATTGTATAAATAAAATCAATCTATCTCATGAAATGTAAGATCACTGTGATAGAAAAACCACAGCAAAGCACTAGCCTCAAACTGGGTAGATCCCCAGCCAGCCGGAGCTTCTTACATTTGTACACACAACTCTGGAGTTTATAACTAGCTGCCAATTTTATATTTTCAAAGCAAACACAGTAATTGGCCACCCAGCTATCTCAAACGCCCGGACAATACCCAAGCGAATTACCATCAGGACGATAGACTTCTGATCTTTACGTTATCTTGGCTGTCCCAAAGATCAAACACTGCAGCCCTTACTCTCCCCCATGTTGAGTGGGTGATGATCTGGAATGGGTGCATGGTACAAACAAACTGCACCATCAGGATACAGAATGTGATCATGCAGGATGATCACTGGCTCACACAGGGGATTTCATTCTCAGATGGTGGGAATGCTCTTAAAAGTGGAAATTATGAGATCCCAGATCAGCAAGAAGAAAATATAAAGACAAGCGCAGTCACATACAAGAACCTTCCACTCTACTGTACCATATACTACAGTGAACTTATTTAAAGTTATTCTCGTGACCCTATTCTTGTGACAGACAGAATTCAAAGGGACTATCTCCTGTCCTTTCTTGTTTGCCATCACTCACCTTTAGTTATGCTGGAAGTCCTCAAAGAAGTAGAAGCCCGCAATGGGGCTTCAGCCCTCTCTGGAGATCTGGTATACAGGTTTTTGTTTTGTTTGGGGGTTTTTTTGCACAGCTTCAGAAAAGGGCAATCGGTCGTTTGGCTGTAGCTTTATTTCTCTGGTGATGTCATTTTAAATATTTTGCATGTTCCATTTGTTATTTGTACTTCTAAAAAAATTGATGCCTTTCTGCAAATTCATGTTTGTCCAATTAGTCACAACCCAAAAGGAACCAAGTTGGCTCTCTGGATGCTGGAGGGAAGCATCAAGGCCAGCATCTACAGAACAGTACCTGACGCGTGCTGATGGGAGGAGACAGACTGAATGTCACAACAACCCTTCTGGATTTCTAATCCAGTGGTCTCCCTTTCTCATTTTTATATATACATTAGGATAGCTCAGAACTGCAGAGGGATTTCTAAAGGAAAAGGCTAGATCACAGGCATAAATGTTAAGCAAGGGCAGGTAGTGAAAGAGCAGAAAGTGAGGGAGCAGACAGAAAGGAAAATGCATTTCTTCATTTTCAGAGTAGCCTCCGTGAGAACAAGCCCATGACAGCTTTATGAGTCCCTGGTTATTTTACTTGCATGCTGTTTAATGAGAAACAGCCTCCAACCGAGGCTTGCCAGAGAGGAAAGTATTAAGAGAAAGGCTTGCTGTGTTAGTCCTACCTGATCTGAATTTGCTCCGAATCAGCATTGAATGCTCAGACCCCAACAGTGTCATGGTGATGCTGCCTTGTGATAATTCCCTGTGCCAGAAAAGCCCCTCAGCTCAAACCATTAACCGGCTCCAGGAAGAGAAGCTGATCGCGACCAATGTATCACCATTCATCTAAGCCTCTCTGCAGTCTAGATGATTGCAGAAAGCAGCAGAAGAGTGTCTTAGGAAAGGTTCGGTCCCATCCAGCACTGACCCTCCACAGAAACCTACTGCATGCCCTTGCAGAGTGTCGAGCTAATTAACGTTTAGCTAGCAGACCCCTCCTTTCCATCTACCACCCTCCCCTCCTCTCTCAGAATTTACTATCTGCAACATCACCGGGTGTCCTGACTGATGTCATAGTCTAGTGGGGAGCCGACTATCCCTAAAGGGTCTTTAGGAAAGACAGAAGTTTGATATCTGATCCGTTATTACTACCAACAGGAACTTGGCCAATCAAGAGGCTCCCTCCCTCTGACTGCAGGGGTTCAGAGCAACTCCGAACTATCAACAGACTTCTGCTTAACTCTTTCCACTATAACTGAGCTGTAGCTACCAAGAATTCAAAGAGGAGGAAGGGCTTCCAGCAGCGCAGTACCGGCAGCAGATTTTAATAGCTCACATCCGAAGGACAGCATTTGGCTGACATCACTGGAGATTTTTAGATGACCTAAGGAACTATATGTCAAAGATTCTTTTTAACTTCAAGGTTCCTCTCATTTATAGGCAAATCTGCTGTTTATAAACCACAAAGATAAAGTACCTCTTCCCCCCCGCCCCCAAATGATCAGCAACTTGCAAAACTCAGTAGCCTTGCATGGACCTAACTTTGGTCCCCAAACTTACTTGTGGAAATCCTGAAAAAAGGCAATCACTGTTAGTTCAAAATGTCTATCTGTAACTTGAGAAGTTCTGGGTCTCTACCTGTTGCAAGCCCATATTTGCCCTGGTAAATTTCCATGAAAGGCTTCAATCCACACTGACAGACCATGAAAACAGGGGTGGGCTCTCCATATGTTGGATTGCAGTTCTCATAATCTCTAACCATAAAACACAGTACAGTAGTTTAGGCCGATGTGAGCTGTACTCCAACATCTGGAGACTCACACACTTCCCGTCTCTGACTCACAAGGTACTGTACCACTGAACATAACTTTACTCTTACCCAAAAGAGGTGGTTTTGACAGCAACATGGGTCTTGCTCTTAGTTATTCTGAAAAAGGCTATACAACGTGTTGTTACTGAAACATACACCCTATATTTCCCATATTAAGGGCTGTCCAAGGCACATGTAGGAGGCTTTTCAGAATCTTACAGTTTGGAGTTAAATGGCAAGATGATGCCCCTTCCTCAGTGTACAGTACAAAAGCTAACTGGACTGGCAGTTGAATCTTACTTCGACCATGGCCCATGGCACGCTGTCCTTCACTGCACCTGAATGAGCAGACTATTCAGGGAGTCCTGGATAGGGCTACAATGGAAGAGAACAGCAGGAGTCGGAGGGTTATCCTCAAATTGGCTGCTGGAGTAAATCGCCTCACTGTGCCTGCTGCTGGCACAGTCTCTCCCAGGCCCTTGCCGTGGCAGATGTCCACGTCGGCAGGAGGGCCTGTCTTCCACAGTTGGCACTATGAAGTTAAACAGAGCCCTGCCTACTTGTGGCTCTGAGGCATGACTTGTTGTGGCTATTACGGCAACTGTTTGCCTTCTTGAATCCCATGTTCGTTTAAGAGATGGCTTGCAATTGCAGGAAATGGCTAGTCAGAAAAGCATGGCTTTGCTGAGTGGCTGACTGATTTATTTTGAAAGAGGTGAACCAAAATGGCCTCACTAATGTTAGCAAGATCAATAGGATCAACAGGATCATTTCAGACGTTTTCATTCACAACTCTGTAAAAAATTAAGAGGTCATTATTATTATTATCATTATGTGGCATCAAAATGAAAACAATGTTTCTTCATATTTCTTGCTTTTGGGAGAGAAAAAAAACACACACATTTTAACAGCAACCAGTTGCAAAGAGTCATGTTTCCACTGCAAACCAGACAGAGCACAATAAAGGTGAGAGCCGGAGGACAGATTGGTCAACACAACCACTTGTTATCCCACCAAATTCAAGACAAAAGTTAATACTGCCAAGACAAAATTTTCAGCTCAGCCTTGCTATATTTATTTTAATAATTCTACTCTACTTCCTGCACAAGTATACAAATTCGTTTTAAAACACTGCCAAATTGCAGCGCTACTTAAAACACACATTTTTAAAGGATACAGACCACTCCTTTCAAAAGCCCATTTGCCAGCAGCCAATCAGTTGCTGCACGCTTGACTGTCTGAAAAGGCTTTATGGAAACATGTGGCAGATGATGAGTCTGAAGCAGAGATCCTCTGCTTATTCACAGCCTCTTCGTGTCAGTCAGAATCCTGGGAAATCATGACCCCAATTTGTGTGCACTCCCCTCCACCAAGGGCTTCTGCAGAAGTAATTCAGGTGGCAGGGGGACAAAGTTTGTGGTCAACAATCCTGTAGTTTTTACACTATTACATTATTACTGCATGTATAAGGGTGTCTATATCTTAGAATACTTGTAGAAAGAACAGCATCATTAGACGAGAACTAAGCTCCCTGCAAGCTCAGTCAACCCTCCTCCTCAAGAACAGGGCAAATATTCCTTCTCTTACAGCTGGAAACTATTATTCTGCACTGATTTGACTGATCACTCTACCTATACTTCTTTCTGTCTAATTGGACTATGTGTGCTTGTCACCCCCATATAAAGCAGCATCAGATTTACAATTCAGGGGAACATGAACGCCAGAGGCACCCACAGATATCAGGGCATCAGATTTGTTGCCGTACACATGCAGGAGAGTGATGAAACTCAAACTGAAGGGAGCAGGGTACTAAGTCAGTGGTGAACCTTCAGACTGAAACAGAGGCAGAAAAGCCTCCAGCATACACATGAATAGAGGCCTAGCACAAAGTAAAGCAAAAGTGTGCTGTTTATATACCGCCCCATAGTGTTTAAAGAACTTTCTAGGAGGTTCAGAATTTAATTATGCAGGCTACACATTGCCCCTGCCCCCACAAACTGGGTACTCTATTCACCAACCTCAGAAGGATGAAAGGTTGAGTCAACCTTGAGCTGGCTACCTGAATCTGCTGGGATCAAACTCAGGCCATGAGCAGAGTCTAGTACTGCAGTTTAACCATTATGCCATGGGTCACCAATGATGTTACCTCTGGATCTCACTGTGAAAATGCAGTGACCTCTGGTGCACCAAAGGCTTGATATTATCACTTTCATCAGTCCTGTACAAGCAGAAAGACCTTCAGCAAGATCACGGAAGGCACCACTGATCCTCTCATGTGGCAGCAAGGGCAGTGATGTAGCTATACAATACTTTTGTGTCCCTTACTCCCTCCACGAAATTATCATCATAATCACCCTTCCTGTTTGTAGTGTTCAGCAGTGGATACCATTGCCTATAGAGCTAAAACATGATCCATGCACAAGAGGACGGTTTTGACAGGCCTGAGGAGAAACAGAAAACTGAGTGGGAGAAGGAATGTAATCATGAGGAAGAGTACAGATGACTGAAATATGAAACAAGACAATTCCACACTGCAAAATTTTGTTGCAAGTCTAACTTGTCCCATTACAATAACCACTTGAGTTAAGATCCAGAGACTGTGCTTTATCCTGAATCTCACAATTGTCCAGGAACTATTCTCCCTCCAAGCAGGAACAGTGCACTTCTGATGACCCTCTGGTGGCATGGAAACATCTGCTGCCCATGCTATTCCTGCATTGCTTTGATTAACATTTAAACATCCAAGCCTATGGACTGCTGTGAGATGGGGAAACACCGGCATAGAAAAGTCTGTTCACACTGAAAGTTTTTCAGGCTCCTGCCTCATGACGCAAAGGGTTTCTGTGCCAATGGAGATGTCCATAAAGGACACAAGTGAAAAGAAGTCTCACACTGCAAAACGAATGTCTGACCAGGCTCTGAGACTAAATGGCTAGCGTTTATTACAGCTCTATGGCATTTAGATCACAAATATCAGGACAAAATCATTGCAAGCGCTGGTAGCCTATGGGATGTTTTGCAATTGACAGCACTACCAGAAAATGCTTTCTCCATTCCCTAAAGTCACTACTAAGCTGTCTGATGTGTTCATCATAATATTTACTTCTTAGTAAATAGGCTAAAAATCTTCACTTCTGATTCAGAACTGAAAGATTAGAGAATGAAAAGAACGAGATGACATGGCTGTTTAAAAGAACATGCAAAATGTTTTCTGCTTAGTGTAAATATTTAATTGTAAAAAAAATGGCAATCTGTTGTGTTTATTAAAGAAGGGATGCAAAATGTGAACTGAGTGCAGGGTGGGGCAGGCTGGCTTTGCTACCATGGATTCCATCCCTCTTGGAGATTCTATTGTGTGCATTCCCTAATCTTGCAGCCAACGTAACGCTGGTGGGCTCATCTGAAATGTCCTCATAAGAACTCCCTGGGACACACACTGAGAATAATCCAGTAGAGGCACATGGGGGGGAGGCTGTTCAAATGTCAGCCAGGCTGTACCACCTTCCTCCATCCCCAGGGCACAGTATCAATTATCAGAGATGGGAAATGTACCTTTTTGGATTAAAATTCCCAGAATCTGCTGGACAGTGAGATATAGCAATCTGAGTTTAAGGCAAGGACTCAAGAAATCCAGGTTCAAAGCTCTTCTAGTTTTTGAAACTCACAGTCACACTGTCACAGTCCAGGGAGAAGAGTTGTGCACTTCTGCACTCATTGGGGATAAACAAATAGTCAAAGAATACCTTACCACCTGGAACAAGTTCAAATATCCAGGGCTGGATGAACTGCATCTGAGAGTACTGAAGAAACTGCCTGAAGAACTCTCAGAACCACTATCCATTCTTTTCTTGAAATCATGGGAAATGGGGGAAGTGCCAGAGGATTGGAGGAGGGCCAATGTTGCCCCTTTCTTCAAAAAGAACCTGGGAACTACAGGCCAGCCAGCCTGACATCAATCCCAGGCAAAATTCTGATCGTAAAGCAGAAACAAGGCAGTAATAACTAGAAGCCAACATGGATTTGTCAAGAACAAATCCTGCCAAACTAATTTGATCTC